GCGGCTGCTTGTACTAGCCAAGACTTGAGCTGGTTTTATAGTGCTAGCCCACTGAGATACCATGCCGCAGTGAAGCATGAATACCCCACTCAGACACATTATACTGACTCCGAGCCGACCAGTCCTTGTTGTACCCATTAATGCCGAACGCCAGGCAGGGACCAACAAGTACCATATTTTAACGTCTTTTGGTATGACGCGGCCGGGGATCTAACCCGCGACCTTCTGCTCTCCGGGTGGACGCTCTAACCACTACACCATGGAGGCGGTCATGGTATGGGGTGGAATAGGCCTGAGCCAGAGAGTGGGGCCTGTGGTGTTCCAGAACCTTGGTCTAGGGAGAGGAGGCAGCATCACAGCGGTGCGGTGCACTTCATCGACCAAGCTCTTAGGCCCCACGTCATACCACATTTCACATGTCACCGGAACAACATTTTCCAGCATGATAACGCCCGGGCCCATACTGCCAGAGCTACACGGGACTTCCTACAGCAGAATGGTATCAACATTATGCAGGATTTAAACCCAATTGAACATCTTTGGAATGAAATTCAGAGGAGACTGAATGTCATACCAAGGCCGAACACAGCTGATTTATTGCGCCAGGCCTTTCTCAGAGTGTAGTTCAAGGTGCCAATGGCCTTCATCAATCGATTGGTGCACTCCATGCATAGACGCTGTGCTGCAGTTATTGCCGCTCATGGTGGTCACACTAGATACCGAGGTCAAGTGTCTGAATGGACTGCAAACGTTCACGTAATGTCTTGAAATTGTGCCGAGTTATTTATTGATGTGTCAAGATATTGTACACAAAAAATGTTTTTCATCTGCTTATTATGTCCATTTCTGTAATGATTTGATTACAGTGCCTATCTAATTTTAAATTCGCACTGATGGTTTTTTGCTGCTTAGTATATTTATAGTGGTGGGTTTGCTGGTTGGAACTGTATCACATTTTGCTGACAAATAGTATTCTTGTTAAATAATATGGTCTATTTTTAAAATGTGTGGCAAATCAACTGAAAATCATTCTTATCAATATATCGAATTATGGGGAAATGGATTGTAGGACAAAAACCCATATATGCCCAATATATGCCCTAGCAGGCTAAACTAAGCAGGCAGTAGCATTCCAGCATGGAGATATTGAAGAATAATAAGAGTGGAGTCAAGTTAAGCTACAAAAATTATATCAATGTAATCGGTGTGGGACATATCAGGCTGTGTTGAGAGGCAAATTAGCGCGCTCAAATTGTCATGTAGCCAGTTTATGCTAGTTCTGATGTGCTCATAATGTAGTGTAACTTGCTTATATTATGTTTGATGTATGTACTCATAGTATGTGGGGGTGGTGGGGTAGCCTAATGGTTAAAGCGTTGGCTTGTCACGCTGAAGACCCGGGTTGGAATCCCCACATTTCTGGTGTCCCCCTGATGTTGCTGGAATATTGCTAAAAGCGGCGTAAAACCAAACTCAGTCAGTCAGTGTTTAAGGGGCCCAGTTCACTGGTGTGAGATAATCACCTACAACAAAAGGTGCGCATTTTATTTGGTTCCCTGTGATATTTGGTCACCTGCGATATTTAGTCAGTGTTGTATGATCCTGTAAAGTTAGAAACATTTTAATTTAAAGGTCACATGCAACCAAACAATCAAACATAATTAAAACACAATCGCAAATCAAAAAGTGCAATATTTTGTACTTGGGTTTACTTCCCAAGAAACGAAGCAGCCGGGATACCGAAACCAGTCAGAGCGGGTGGGTGTGCACTCAAGTGTAACGGCTGGTTCATTTGCAGATGTCAAGGCTCATTGTGTGTGTTTATATAGAGATGTTGGGTTTTGCAATCAACAGACATCATAACATGTCATGTGTACAAGTATCACACCTGCCTGTCTGTGTAATTACATAATGTGACAGAGACCGAACTCGGGCCATAAATCAATGAGTTTTGTTTATGGTGTATAGCCTGATAGGTGTTAAGTTCAAATTGCATGTGGTCAGTGATTGAAATTGTGTATTGAATATTGTCATTAGCAGACGGGCAGGCAGATAAAACACATAGGTGCCAATAAAACAGACATTGAGTTGTCTGTGACAACTACATATTTATATCACAGTTAGAAATTCTGTCGACGCTAAATAATGACATTGCTTTTAAGTATCGAAGTGAGAAAGTGACTCGGTAAGAAGAACGTGTGGTGAAATAGACAAATGAAATTATATAAACAGTTAAATCGGTAATCTACTGTAATAACATATAAAAAGCTCGCGCCTGTGAAATATCAACAAAACATTAGAAAAATAGCTCACACCAAAGCCTTCACCGAATATTCACCAGACAACCCGCTTCCAAGCTCCGCGAACCTATTTCACTGCGCATGTGCTATGAGCGCAGCCCAGCTGTTGAAACCACTTCAATTCCCCCCAAACGCTGGGGGAAAGTTGGTGAATCGTTTGAACTATGATTTTGCGCGGGTTTTTTCATCACGTTATTTTTCAACTTATAAGTTGAATTTGCATTTTTGATGATTTGTTTCGGTAAGTCCATACCGAAAGGTATCAGAATCTGCAAAGTTGTGTTTTACGTTGCATGTGACCTTTAAGAAAATAGGAAATGAAATGAATCTTGTTCAATTATTGCTGTATTCTACAGACATTCACTATCTAAAAGTTGTCTAAATAATAGTCACGGAATTTAACTGTTTCTAGAATAATGAGGTTTGTTTTGATTTACTTTCTTCTATGTCAAAAGTGGAGGTAACAGAAACCATTGTATCACGGAGGTCATTTTTATTTCTGTAATTTTGTTTTACTTCCAATTTTGCTTCCACGTTGAAATTATTGAAAAATTCACTCAATGTTTTGCTGTTGTTCTTGCCATAATATTTTCCACTGTCAATCTGCCTTATGTCCATAAAATGAATAATGCCATTAACATGTTAGAAAATGTCTGAAAGGGAAAAAGTGCAAATTATCTCCCTGAATTGTAGGGGCCTAAATAACGCCTTTAAGAGGAAAAAAGTATTTCGATTTTTACGCAAGAAAAAAGCCCAGATATAATGTCTGCAAGATACCCGCTTCACGAGAGAACAAGAGCAGATTATCAAACAAGAATGGGGGTATAACCAATGCTACATGACTTCATACAAAAGCAATGCTAGAGGTACAGCTATATTTAAGAAATACAGTTCGCTCTACCACCATGTATAGTGTAATAAAACACACTTTCGCCCTGAACTATTATAGTTAAAGTACGAGGAGGCTTGCGTCCGAGTGCTTTATCGTTATAATAGTTCAGGGCGAAAGTGTGCTTTATTACACTATACATGGTGGTAGAGCGAACTGTATTTCTTTTATAAGATGCCAAATTTAATACTTTCTAAGAATAATTAATTTAATGCAGAAAACAAACGGCGGTGTCGGTGACCTAAATTAAGAATCCTCGCACAGGGCTATTTAACTCTTTCAACACCAGTCAACCAGAGGGTTCATTTACTGCCATGACACCGAAGTTCCCAGAGACCCTGAGGTCATAGATGAAGCCTATGTTTATGAAGGAAATTATAAGGCATTTGTAAAACGAGTTATTGCTACTACATCCCATACACCATTTAAAAGATCTAATCCTACTGTTGATAAATATGAAGTTTATTTTTATAATATTATTCAAATAATACAACTACAACTTAAATAAATGTATTTTTGAAAGAAAATGCAAGCTTACATTTATAACGTCCAGATAAACCACGATAGAAGCAAAAACTATGGCGATTTTTTTCCATTTGTGACATGTCATAACATGCCCGTGCCTTTTTATTTTATATTTTCATTTTTACGTCATCAGAAAATTATTATAAAAAGATTTCTTAAATAATATGTATGGTCAGCCTATTTCCCCGATATCTGTGGCTTTCCGCTCGGTAACATGACATAACAACGAAAATACCTCCGCTTTCGGCTTCAGATGAATAACATGCGAGGCTTAATCGCTTGATGTCGGGCATCGCTCAAAGCTCTGAACATCAACAATATCACTGTACCCTTGCCAAGAGTATTTTCACAGTTGTAAGAAGCGATTTTATTGATAAAGATTGGTTTCTAATGACGCTTTTTCGCCACAGTCTGCTATAAGGGTCGGATTGGTCAAAATCAGACACGCGACCTAAGGCAGCCAATCATATTACGGCAATGGATACCGTCCTCGTCAAAACGAAAACTTTTAGATTTAGACAAAAGTTTTGGGTAAAATAATGCTATTCTGAACATATTAAGCAAGAAATCGCTACCTATAATGTGAAATTATGGAACTTATTGGACGTGATCGTATAGGTTATGACCTATGACAAAAATGCTTCATGTATATATTTTCGCATTAAACATCGTGGTCCGAAAGCTGAAGATTGAGGCGGCGAGAGCCGAGATGTCACTTGTCAGTGACTTGACTTACATTACATGATCGCACAAAAAGATGGAAATAGTAATTTTATATGTACGCTTGACAACTCTTATGAATGTTGTTGTTGATTTTATGCATTAGTTTATTCAATTTATTTAATGAATTCCTCGAAACATCGTTACTTTGCTCTTTGACAATGTTATTGTGGACCCGCTGCCGAAGCATGTGTCCGAGAATCATTGTTTTCAATAATATTGCGAAAAATAGTTTATAATTTTAATTCTGCTGATAATATATGATAAATTGAAATTTAATAAGTGTTTTCAGACATTGTGAAATGTGATAGATTTAATATATGAATCATAAGTCAGGTAGGTTCCTAAAATTATGTCTCATTTTGACGTGACTACTGCCTGGCCGCTTAATCGGCCTCCGGTGTCTGGGGACTCATAACGTTGTGGCCGCTTTAGCGGCCTGCGGTGTTGAATGGGTTAATACAATTAAAGAACATATTCAGCAGTTATTAGGAGAAAGAATTATAATATGTGGAGACTGGAACCTAGTATTAGACCAGCTGAAAGATACCTTCAATCAGTGTTTCCGCTGACTTCATTGTTTATCGGACACTGTGTCTGGTGACCTAAAATTTTACCGGTCATGAATTAAATTTGCCGGTCATATCCTATTACCATACTGTAAACTTACTCATTTTAAAGTTATTTTTAGCCTGGGTATTTCCAAAGCATAACTGTTTTTGTGACCATGGAAGCACAGCTAAGACTGTCATTTCGTTTACCCATGATGATTTTATTTTAATACATGATTATTTACTGGACATGGTGTCCTGCTGGCTTTTAATTTACCGGTCCCCAACAAATTTTACCGGCGATTCTCAGGTATATACCGGAGAACGGAAACACTGCTTCAATTATAAAAACATAAACAACCCGAACTCAAGAGAAACAGTATTAGATATGATGAACTATCTTGATCTGAAAGACCCTTGGAGAGAAACCTACCCCTTTGAAAAAAGATTACCTGGCGACAGCCTACGCCCCTAAAACAAGCACATTTGGACTAGTTCTTTATCTCTCATAACTTACTTCAACAAGTTATACATACAGATATAAGCCCAAGTATTGACTCAGACCACTCAGTTATGTCAATCTCAACATCCCTATCTGAGGTAAAAAGAAGTAAAGGATTTTGGAAATTTAATAATTCTTTGTTACATGATTCAGAATATGTACAACTAGTTAAATAAAAAATAAAAAGTACTTTAAAAAGTTATGAAACAGATGAAGAGGAACAAGGTTCAAAATATATTATTAATGACCAACTCTTATGGGAAATGATTCTTCTAGACTTACTGAGTTTGGTTTTATGCCACTGTTAGCAATATTCCAGCAACATCACAGCGGGAGACACCAGAAATGGGCTTCACACATTGTACCCATGTGGGGATTCGAACCCGGGTCTTCGGTGTGACGAGCCAACGCTTTAACCATTAGGCTACCCCACCGCCCCTATTCTTCTGGAAACAAGAGGACTAACAATATATTATACCTCCACTAAAAAGAAAAAAGACACTAATACTATAAATAACTTAGAGAATATATTGTATGAAATGGAAGTAAAACTAGACACAAAGGATAATTCGCAAGATAAACAAGAAATTCTCAAAGAAATAGATGATATAAAAAGAAAACTTAATGATTTTGAAGAAAACAAACCTAAAGGAGCATTTATTAGATCAAAAGCCAAATGGATTGAGCAAGGTGAAAAACCAAGCAGATACTTTTTAAATTTAGAATTTAGAAACTTTCTAAATAAATCTATATCAGAAATAAAAAGAAATGATGGAACAGTTAAAAAGCAAGAGGAAACTCAAAACTTTTATAGAAAACTATATACAAGTGAAACTTGCACCCAACTCGATCTAGATTCATTGCTTGGAAAATATGAAATACCAAAATTAAATGATGACATTGCCTCAAGTTAACTAACCTATGAAGAAATTTTTGAAGCTGTAAAAAAAAAATGAAAAATGATAAGAGCCCAGGGCCAGACGGATTTACATCTGAATTCCTAAAATTCTTTTGGAATGATCTAAGCAGACTCTTGATAAACTCACTAAACTTTGCTTATAATAATGAAACTTTATTTGTAACACAGAAACAGGGATTGATTACATGTATACCTAAAGATAATAAACCAAAAATGTATTGGAAAAATTGGAGACCAATTTCACTTCTGAACACTTCCTACAAATTAGCTTCTGCAACTATTGCTAATAGATTAAAAAGGATATTACCGTTAATACTAAATGAAGACCAAAAAGGATTTGTACCAGGTTGATATATGGGTGAAGTCTCTAGATTAATATATGACCTTATGGAATATACTTAATCTTACCAAATACCAGGCCTCTTAGTTCTTATTGATTTTGAAAAAGCATTTGACTCTGTAGACAGAAACTTTATATTAAATGTACTTAAATTTATCAAATTTGGACCAAGTATTCAAAGGTGGATAAAGACTTTCTTTAATGATATGTCTTCAAGTGTACTTGTACTTGTCCATTCTTCCCAATAAGCAGGGGCTGTCGTCAGGGAGATCCCATTTCACCATATATTTTCATTTTATGTGCTGAAATTCTAGGTATACTTATAAGAAATAATAAAAATATACAGGGGATTAAAAAGGGAAATATAGAATTCATCTTAGCCCAATTTGCAGACGATACCACCCTTTCTTTAGATGGCAGTGAAAGTAGTCTATATGCATTGCTGAATACCCTATCATTTTTTGCAAGATTCTCGGGTCTGAAAGTTAATGCAGACAAGACAAGACTGATTTGGATTGGCTCAAAAAAAGAGATGCAGATTTAAGCTTTGTAAAGACTGGAACTTAAATTGGACACAAGGTAATTTTAAACTTTTAGGGATTATGTTTGACGTTAAACTAAACTATGAAGATAAACTTAAAGGTCACATGCAACCAAAAAATCAAACACAATTAAAACACAATTATCACTTATTCATGACATATAATATACATTGCAGGTTATGAAAAAACATAAAAACAAAATTATAAGCGTACAATCGCAAATCAAAAGTGCAATATTTTGTACTTGGGTTCACTTCCCAAGAAACAAAGCAGCCGGGATACCGAAACCAGTCAGAGCGGGTGGGTGTGCACTCAAGTGTAACGGCTGGTTCATTTGCAGATGCCCTCACGGCTCATTGTGTGTGTATATATAGAGATGTTCGGTTTTGTAAATACATGCTCATCTTTTGTGTATAACATTTTGCAATCAACAGACATCATAACATGTCATGTGTTCAAGTATCACACCTGCCTGTCTGTGTAATTACATAATGTGACAGAGACCGAACTCGGGCCATAAATCAATGCATTTTGTTTATGGTGTATAGCCTGATTGGTGTTAAGTTCAAACTGCATGTGGTCAGTGATTGAAATTGTGTATTGAATATTGTCATTAGCAGACAGGCAGGCAGACACACAGGTGTCAATAAAACAAGACATTGAGTTTTGTCTGTGACAACGACATATCTATATCACAGTTAGAAATTCTGTCAACGCTAAATAATGACATTGCTTTTAAGTATCGAACTGAGAAAGTGACTCGGTAAGAAGAACGTGTGTGAAATAGACAAAGGAAATTATATAAACAGTTAATTTACTGTCATAACATATAAAAAGCTCGCGCCTGTGAGATATCAACAAAACATTAGAAAAATGGCTCACACCAAAGCCTTCACCGAGTATTCACCAGACAACCCGCTTCCAAGTTGCGCGAACCTGTTTCACTGCGCACGTGCTACGAGTGCAGCCCAGCTGTTGAAACCACTTCAATTCCCCCCAAACGCTGGGGGAAAGTTGGTGAATCGTTTGAACTACGATTTTGTGCGTTTTTTTTCATCGCGTTATTTTTCAACTTATAAGTTGAATTTGCATTTTTGATGATTTGTTTCGGTAAGTCCATACCGAAAGGTATCAGAATCTGCAAAGTTGTGTTTTACGTTGCATGTGACCTTTAAGAAAATAGGAAATGAAATGAATCTATGGTCAGTTCAAACACTCACTCCAATAGGAAGAAATGTAGTACTGAAATCTTTGTAACTTTCGAACTTAATCATCTATTTTCTTCTATTCCATCACCCCCGGACGATTTGATTAAGTCATTCCCAAAGAAGTGCTTCAGTTTTATATGGAAATCTAAACCGGATAAGATTAAGAGGGAAACATTATCTATGCCAACTGAATATGGTGGAATAAGTGCTCCAATTGTGAAGGATATGATTAAAGCTCAGAAAATCTCATGGGTAAAAAGGTTCTATACCAGTAATTGTAAATGGAAGACACAAGTTGATAACTGCATACTAAATCACAACAGACTATGGCTAGCCAACCCTGAATACAGGGCTCCAGATAAGGGCCGTTTCGGCGTATGTATGGATAAAAAATATGCATGATACGGTAGGAAATAATTTAGAAAACGTAGCACTTACGCACCACAGCAATGCTGTACGGTCTTGGAATCATTTACAGACGTATATTTATCTGAAAGAGTGTTGTTTTATTGTTTATTGACCTGTTTACACAAGACTAGCAATGTTGTGGTGCATATATGAAACGAAACACAAGATTACTGATACGCCATTAAATTTCATTCAGTACTCAAAATGTACTCTTAAGTTTATCCAGTACTCCTATATTGAAAAAATAAGGAGCCCTGCATAACAAATAATATTATCCCTAATGTAAGAAATACTTTTTGGAAAGATGTAGCTATCGCATATAGCACACATTTAAACAAACAATACAAGACACTAAAGGCAACAGATTTCCTAAAGCAATCTCTTTGCTATAATACCCAATTCAAAGTGGGTAACGAAACGGTTTTATTTAAAAATTGGTACAATGCAGGGATACACTTTGTTTATGATTTGATTAACCCAAATACAGGTGAATTCTATACACATGATGAACTGCAGGAAGTTTTTAACATCAAGATAAATATCTTTAGATATCAAAGCATGAAATCAACCATTAAAACATGTATGAAGAAATATCATATTGTACACTTAGACCCCTTACCTACTTCTCCAATAATGCCTTTCAATATATTAAAACTTATCAACAACGGCAAGGGTACTACATATTTTATCTGTCTTCTAGAACCAACCTATGAAAAATCATATGTACACAAAAAGTGGGAGAGTCTTTTTTGAAAGAAAATATGATTGTGCTGTATTTCACAGGAACTTTTTCACTTGCACCGTTTGTCACGGGTACTTTTTTGTGGAAGCACCTTTTTCGTGCCTCTTGTTTTTGAACTTTCGATATGGAAAGCCGCATGGCCAGGACTCTCTCCCTTTTTGGGGCTACAAATCCACAAAGTGTATATATTTTCATATTTGCTGCTCTTTGCATATTGTAATATGTGTTCAATTTCATTATTTAGGCAATTTGTGTGTAAATAATTTGCTGTATTTAATATTTTGGATGTGGCGTTCAATTTCGGGCAGGGAAAACACTGAACTGTTTTCAAACGCTTTTTTATTGCTATTTTTGCATAGTATTTTGGAATGTTGTATAGAATATTGAATTTAGGAAACATATTTTGCAGCTTTGTTAGTTTAGGATGTAAGTTTCTTTGGGCTAGAAATGCTATGCTGTCAAAATGCAGTATTTGAAGCATTCGTAAAATATCCTTACCTGTGGACTGGTTAACCTATTAATATGGTCATTGCAGAGTTACCTTTTGTGCATCTACTGAAGTTATATTATTCTCATTTACATGTAAAAGTGTAACAAATTCAGGTTTTGGCTGTTTATGCATTTATTCAGCAATTATTGTGACTTATGCATATTTTTGGGAAATTTATTGTATAAGGGAAAATTTTGAGTGTGTGTGAACTTTGTACTTATTACTGTGTTTTGTAAATTTCAGTCTTACCCTATATCTTCCATGTCTACAAATGAAGATTACCAACAAACGATAAACTGTATCCTTGAAACTTGACTGTTGTTTTTGGAAGTGGGTGAATGCTAGGACAGCATAATGATAGTGAAATGATAAAAAATATATATATGATGGGAAACAGATGTACTAGAAGTAGTAACCTAAAATGGTTACAGATGAAAATACTATATAATATTATACCTACAAATAAGTATCTACATAGAATTGGTATTAAAGAATTTGCCTTGTGCACCTTTTGTTCAAAGGAACCAGAAACAATTGTTCACCTTTCAGTGAATGTAGCTATGTAAAACAAATATGGAGTGATCTAACCAGATGGCATAAAACTGTAGCAGAAGGAAATATTGAATTTAACTCTGAAAATATCTTACTTTGATTTTAAGGAAGGAATAATATACTCCCAAAAGGTAAAAGAAGCAATCCCAAATTTGAAGCCCGTACAAAGGGAGATAAGCAGATACTATAAAGCAACAAAATATAGTGCCCTTTTAACATGTACACTTGACAAGTTTTATGCATTCTGGTCATCATTCCATAATCTACTAAGAGAACCTAATATTTTTTAACTTATATTTAGGATGTGCTGCATTCTGACTCGCCCCCCAAAAATGTCTAAAGTATTCCATGTTATACAATAGTATATTATCTTCTGAACCCATAAAGTTAAGAGAATTGAATATGTAAATCATGTCATATTATAAGTTATCACATCGTGTTGAGGGACTGATAAAACCCCGTATTTCCCTCGACACGATGTGATAACGCATTTATTTAGCCGAACGTTTTGCTTCAATTTCATTCTCAGTTGTTGTGGCAAAACGTTTCCTTGCTGCCATGTTGACAACAGCTGATCGATTGTACTCAATGCAGCGCACGTTACTAAGGCTTGGCAATGCAGGCTTTTCTCACTTCACGTGGTCACCGAGGCGGGATAATATGACTTTTGTACTCCCTGGCCGCGGATCGTGGCGGGTGTACATGGTATTTTATCAGAGTCACGTGAACCAATCAAAACATTCTTACATGAGGCTGGATAAATGTCAATATTAGTATTCATTGATACAAGCAATACAATTGGTTATAATATCTTCTGATGTTTATTAAGTAATGTCACATGTAATCATGGCATCTATGTCAACAATCCCTTTCAGTGCTGCAAGTTATACAATCTGGGTAAGATCTGTGGATATCAAGCTACAATTAATACAAGGAAGCATATTACTTCTAATTATGGCGTATATTCCTGTATCAATAGCCATTGATATTTATCCTCTTGACAATATATGGAGAATGTTATATGAACAACATGTTTAGCAGGAAGTGGAAATCGATGCTTATGTTTTTTGACAATGTGGGATAACGTTGAACACATAACATGGATAAGATGTTATAATATGTAATGAAATTGAAGTTTGTACTTTTGACAATGTATGGAAAATATTATATATATATATATATATATATATATATATATATGTATACATATAAGCATCATATATAAAACATGTAAAACATGAAGTGGAAATAAAAATGTAAAAAACAAAATAAAAACCAAAAACAAAACAGGAACCAGGGGAAGGGCCATGGCTCTCCGGACCAACAGCCTGACGTCTGGACTGTCCTTGCATGCACAAGTCAAACCAACTTTCTGCACCTTCTTCCAAACTGTTTGTGTATAGTGGAACATGCAGCCCTTCATTTATGTGTCAGGAAAGATGGTAATGAACGCATCTATCCAGTGGATAGAAGTTGCTCTCCTTGTTTGCTGCCCCTAAATATCAAGTACTGACCTTTGGAATGAAATGAAGCTTGCCATGGTGAATGAATGCACTAGACCACAGTGCAACGTTTTACACATGTATTCAGTTAACATAGTTCACCTAGAGTAAAATTAAAATTAATGTCTGTCGGTGTCATGGTGAACTGTACATGGCTACTTAGGTGAGCTAATCCTCCAGCTTGCCGGACATATCTCACAGTGATGAACAGTATTTGCACAATCACGCAAGCATAACTGTTAATCCCCCTAAGCTGCTGGGTGAACGAGAAGACCCCTGTTTACCTCAGTAAGGCCGAGAGACTCACATGTGGTTAGAAATAGGGGTGACTATTGAGATCGAAACAATTATTGCGATAGCGATAGTCTATTGCAACATACTATTGTCACAGCAATAGTTGTTTTCTCTTTGAATTGGCTCATTTGAAGTCATTTCCAAAATGAATGTATAGTTTATATGAAATAAAAACAACTAACTGCTCTTCACAATTTCAAACCCGACTCGCAAGTCGTGTTTGTCGCCATATTTGTTTAAGAGGTAACAGGGACGGATAAATCAAAGTGAAAAAATCTGGTACATTCTGTATTTTGCGTTGCGCATTTATCAATGGAAGTCAAATACCACACTATCGACAGTCACACATACTATAGTTTTACGTTGCAACCATCGATTAATTGCTATCGGAGACTCAACAATTGCAATCCATCAACAGTTTGATGCATCGTTACAGCACTAGTTATAATGCCACTGTTTGTCCAGGAGTGAGTGAGTGAGTTTAGTTTGAAGCTGCACTCAGCAATATTACAGCTATATGGTAGCAGTCTGTAAATAATCAAGTCTGGACCAGACAATCCAGTGATCAACAGCATAAGCATCAATCAGCGCAATTGGGAACCGATGACATGTGTCAACCAAGTCAGTGAGCCTGACCACCTGATCTCGTTAGTCGCCCTTACAACAAGCATGGGTTACTGTAGATCAATAGTCTAACCTGGACCTTCACAGGTTGTTTGTCCAGGAGAAAATATGGCATTATATCCAGGGTGGTATTATAACCAGGTAGGACAATGCCCCTATACAATCAACAAGGTGATTGAGGTGATGTCTCCGGTAATGAGAATTTAAATGACTGTATAATCCCATCTATGGGCTGCAGGTGACTTGTGACAATACACTTCCTGCCACCTACAACATGTGTTATCTGGGATAACATGACTACTTAAAGTGTTAATGAGTTTGGTCAATTAATTTGAGTCATGTCAATTAACCAATTAAGGTATGTATACTACATGCAGCCAGGGTAAAATGAATTTCCATTCCAAAACCCATTGGCATATGGCAATATATCCAGTTCGGCTTTATAACCAGGGTATTATATAGGCAGAAAATCAATTCTGGCAAAAAAATGGCATTATATCTGGATGGGACTATAACCAAGGTGCACTGTAATTAGCAGTTTCTCTCAGCGAGAGCTGTATATGTGCGTCAATAGAAAGCACCTCTTATTCAGCGAGTGACACACATGTATGTCTGTATTTTTTTAAATTGCAATATACTAGTACCTATTATTTCAACCAATTTAGTAGTACTGAGATGCTACCTTTAGTGTTGATCACAAGAAATATTTGGAGTGTTTTGATAACAATTACTTATCATTATCATAGGCTTATACAATGTTTGGTAAATGAACACATGTCGGTGAGAAAGGGGATTATGAGATGTTTTTACAGAGGCAAGTGTTTGGTGTTTGGTACTCTTTATTGGGAGTGGATACTAAAATCCTTTTTATGCACATTGATTGAATTAGATGTAATGTTTTAGAGGTTACTGAGGACTATATATTCAACAACCTAATAAATATGAAACAAGATACGAAATTTAAAGGACATAGAATGAATTCAAACAAACTAGAATACTTTGAATTTACTTTTGAGGTATTATTACATTGTCACGTTTCACATAATGAATTGTAAACACAAATAATTATACATCCAAGCTCTTATAGATGATACAATGGTAGTCTGAATTTGAACCTTGATTTGACAGGCTTAACCAGTTGTATTCTCCACATGGAGCGTTCTGTACTCTTTGACCAGGGGTAATATGTCAGCGCTTGAGCATGCAATGTGCATGGATAAACGTGCAATATAAATGGACTATTATTATTATTATTATTATAAATTAAGTTACTAAGTTAAAGCTTACTGAATTGTAACTATATATTTTTCATAATCGTAAGCTGATAATGTTACCTAATCGAATATAAAGTGATAACTCGTGCCTTTGCATTGACACATAATACATGTACATGTCATTATTATTACAAATACTGAAATCTTTTACTACGTTTGTTACAAAACACAGTAGGTAATACAACATTCTTAGACACAGATAGAAGTAATGTCATAAGTCATTACATGTAAAACATAGCAAAGTATTTCAAGCATTTCTGTGCAAGCTCTTGAAAGTTTCAATGATTTGAATTGCCATATGTCTATGCAATTTACATGAGCATTGTGTAATGAACTTTGGAATTTGATTTCTGCAATTATCTGATCGGTTGTAATTATCACATGTATGAATGAACTCAGTCTCTGTTGATCCAATAAAAGCGGGATAGTATATCAGTTATGGTATTGATACACATACGTATAATCATTCAATCAGACTATAGTAATGAGATAATTGAACACCTCTTTTGACCTTGGAATAACAACCTCCGGTAGAACATGTAGCTACACCCCTGTTGAAAGGTTTGTACCGAGACAAGTATTAAATAAATATATGCTCTGTTATATCATTGGACAACCTGACTTGAGGAGTCAAGCCCCTCTCTGTACTGTAATGTTTATGCACATATGCACATCTGATCTCATGAACCTTGTTTGCATTTATATATAGCCACGCCCATCTTCATAAAACTTTTTTATTTTAACCTTTCTTTCTTTTTTTTGGGGGGGGAAAGGGGTCAACTGCAGGTATGAGGATGTATTACTTTAGTATCGTGCCACTTTTTGAATTCTATAATACATGTACTTTAAGTTGGATATTCATTCATATCAAGATGCAGATTATATTTACATGTATACATGTACAGCAAATCCTTATGTTTTATGTACTAGCAAAATATACTTCATAAATACTATCTCTACGCAATAGTTGGATTCAATCTTTATTGTTATACTTATCAAAAAAACATTAACAAATGTGTCTTCAATCTCTGAGAACAAATAAACTTGGCAAAGAGTCTATCTTCTCCTATTTGTCTTATGTGCATATTTCATACATTGTTATGATTATGCATGTTTACAATACACAAACTGTTAGCTTGAGTTGATACAGCCAGAAGACCAGAATATTGACTGATCAGTGATATAGCCAATAATCAATTTCTATCCAAGCTGCTGAGTGACCAAACGTGATGCCAAACATTCTATTCGGGATATTTGATCACGTCCCATCATGTGACTCATGTAAGTCCCATTTGGGATTCGAACCCACATACTCAGAGTCAGGCACCTAATCCCCAGCACACAAAGTCAGCCGCCTAACCCACTCAGCCACCACGGCTTCCACATTTTCCTGACGACTCAAAAGACACTTTGTCCTCTTCTGGATCCAGTTATTGCAGATGTACCACAGATGGACGAACCAGAATCGTTAGGAAAGCCAACTGAGGAACCCACGACATCAATGATTGATAATGCGCAGAAGAATGATACGGTTGGACCAACCAACAACGATAACAGAGAAACAAGCACAGTGCAAATAAAAGACGTGAAGACAACAGTAAACCAACCAACTGCAGATCCTGTGGAAACTGATTGCTCGTAGGGTGTTATACTTTCCCAGACTGTTTAAGGAAGTTTGGTAAACTAACTGCTGCAGATCAATGGAAATGGATTATTTGTAATATGTGTTGAACAGTTAAAGAAGGCATAGATGGCATTCCGGTTCTTAGTTCTTAAAAGTATCTCAAATTCAAACACGATTAAGTTGTTATAAAAAAACGTGAGAGTTGCTTTTACAGCGTTTTAACGGTATCTCGATGGAACTTGTATTAATTAAATGGGAAGGCTTGCAACTACACAGTGGTTAACTGTGGAACTTGCTGTTGCAACTTTAAGACAGTCATCCCGAGGCAGTTCTCAGTACATCCTGCCCCTTCCAAATAATTATTGCAAAACGGGCTTGAACGGGATATGATGTGTAACATTTGTAAAAATTACGATGCCAGCTCAATCATAAACAGTTCTCAGTACTTCTATCTCTAACATTTTATATTTGGAATTACACTTTCTTAGTAAAGTACAAATTCTAGTACTTTTTGGGTTGAGTCCCATCTGGGAATCGAACCTGCACCCTCAGAGTCTGGCACCTAATTACCAGCACACAAAGTCAGCCGCTTAACCCGCTCAGCCACCGTGACTTTCACAAAAAATGGAAGTCGGACAACTGGTAGTCTAGACTGCGGACTTTGTGTACCCCTCTGATAAGTGCCAATTTACACTTCCCAGAAGGGTACACAAAGTCCGCAGTCTAGACTACCAGTTGTCCGACTACTAAGTTAGGTCTGTGTGTGAACGGGATGGACATGGTGGAAACTGGGTACAAACGTATTTCATACAAACGTATTGTGTACAACGTATTGATGCCAGACGGCAGTACGTCCGCACACGTCCCCAGTAAGATTGAAGTAAGGCAATTCTGTTCGGCAATTCTGGCAATCTTGTTTTAAGTACATTGTCACTGTCCCATTTTATACCGGGTAGAACGCTGGACATGTTCAACCTTCTGGAGCACCCTTCCGTCCCTAGTCCAACCAAGCCTGTCCATATAGTTCTTAAATAGACTAAATCGGTAGCACTATGTCCATTCCATTCTCACACAGTTTGAGTCCGACACAGAACATTTTTCAAGAACGTACTGAGAACAAGTTTGGTGTGATGGAAGTATTAGTCTTCATACCATGCATTGCACAATAATTTCACTACATGAGAAGATATCTAGATCCCAGTTGTGTTCCAAACCAAAACCTTTGATCAGAATACGACCCCTGTCTCTCCCAAAATCATTGTAACCTCAGAATGCATGGAATAAAAGAAATCAAATTAATATGACTTTGTTTTGTATGTCTTGGCATTCAGTTGTTCAGCTAAAATTACCACATATTTATGACTTGTTATCTACTGGTGTCTTTGGTAAATAATTCTTGCATAATCATAAACTTCTTCCTTAAGGTGAAAAGAGATCACCTCGACCATTAAGCATGCGCAAATTATTTGAGCAGATAAAAACATAACATGTTGTTGCACTATCACACCTTATCTGTTAACAAGACACATTCAAATGAGCACATGATACCTTCATACTTATTATTTATGCCTGAGAGAATGCATGCATCACCTTTGACCCGTGTTTTCTCACTTAAACATTTCTATCAAATTCTAACCTCACCACCCTTTAACTAGGCACTACACTGTCATTTTAAAATATATTGGGTTAATTTTTTTTATTTTGTGGGGAAAATATCAAATCGGTCCTTATCTCAATCCCGACCACATGGTCCCTTTACTGGCAGCCTTCCCCATTGACTCCTGCTTGGCAATCAGGCCTAATGTTTTCAATTCCCTGCCACGCCTCTTAAGGCTTCCGCGATGTCACACCCGGAGAACCCTCCCCTCCAACACATGAATGTATTCTTTCACAAGTTTGGTCATATTTTGTCCAATTTGGCTTTCCCCTTCTTAATATCTATCCCCGACAAATTACTGCTCGAGTCTCGTAAATTGAATGTGAAGTGTTGTTTACATAGTGACAAGATGGCAAAAGAAATGGCAGTTGGAGCTGTTGTCAATACATTGTTAGAGAATGACGTTAGTGAAGAGGGGGGAGGAAGATGCTGTATTTATGAATCTTGTTTCAGAAAATGAAACGC